ATTGGCCCAGGGGTGCAGTGTTTACTACAAAAAGAAACGTAAATTAAATTTATTTATACTGGATAGCTCTATCAGTTTTAAACTGTTCTCTCTGGAGGCCCAGTAAGGTTCATCTCTTATTGGCTAATTGGCCCAGGGGTGCAGTGTTTACTACAAAAAGAAACGTAAATTAAATTTATTTATACTGGATAGCTCTATCAGTTTTAAACTGTTCTCTCTGGAGGCCCAGTAAGGTTCATCTCTTATTGGCTAATTGGCCCAGGGGTGCAGTGTTTACTACAAAAAGAAACGTAAATTAAATTTATTTATACTGGATAGCTCTATCAGTTTTAAACTGTTCTCTCTGGAGGCCCAGTAAGGTTCATCTCTTATTGGCTAATTGGCCCAGGGGTGCAGTGTTTACTACAAAAAGAAACGTAAATTAAATTTATTTATACTGGATAGCTCTATCAGTTTTAAACTGTTCTCTCTGGAGGCCCAGTAAGGTTCATCTCTTATTGGCTAATTGGCCCAGGGGTGCAGTGTTTACTACAAAAAGAAACGTAAATTAAATTTATTTATACTGGATAGCTCTATCAGTTTTAAACTGTTCTCTCTGGAGGCCCAGTAAGGTTCATCTCTTATTGGCTAATTGGCCCAGGGGTGCAGTGTTTACTACAAAAAGAAACGTAAATTAAATTTATTTATACTGGATAGCTCTATCAGTTTTAAACTGTTCTCTCTGGAGGCCCAGTAAGGTTCATCTCTTATTGGCTAATTGGCCCAGGGGTGCAGTGTTTACTACAAAAAGAAACGTAAATTAAATTTATTTATACTGGATAGCTCTATCAGTTTTAAACTGTTCTCTCTGGAGGTCCAGTAAGGTTCATCTCTTATTGGCTAATTGGCCAAGTGCAGTGTTACTACTGGAAGAAACGTAAACTAAACTAACTATATTTATAATGGATAGGTCTATCAGTTCTCAACTGTCCTTCCTAGAGATCCAGTATAATGCTAAATCAAAAACCCTATACTCAGCTAACTCTATTTGGATTGAAAATCTCGATAAGTTTCGACTGTTCTTCCTAGAGGTCCAGCAAGATTTATTGATCCAGTGCTACTACAAGAAGTAACAAAAAGTTATGATCAAAATTGTGAAGTTGCAACAAGGATACATCATACATGCCGATGAGGCTTCTGCATGTTTCAATATTGAAATCTTGGTCACCAATATCTAAAACAGAATATATTCAAAACTACATGAAACTCTCAAATTGAAAAAGGCAATGAAAGAATAATATTAATGGATAAAAATGTTCGTTCTTCTCTGCAAAGACGGTATTAATTTGAAAAGATCTCTCATATCCAGTCGTCAATGAGTGCATATATAGATCAGTGGACTAAGGAGTGCGATCCATTCAACTTGGATCATTCCCATCATGCACCATTATTTTTGTACAAACCTTTTGAAAATGCAGCTTCCAAAACTTTCTTTAATTCATAAGCATCAACTTGTTCGTCCTATAAGGATTTAATTAATACAACATACAAACCAACGACTTGTTGTCATCATGCAATTCACTTGCGAGTGAAAACCTTACAGCAACGTGTAATAACGGTTATACAACTTTATTACAACGTTGTTGCAAACACTTTTCAGTTATTAACAAATGGTAATATTCAGTTTACGTCTGCACTAAAACACTTAAGTCCTGAATAAGTTTTCCATGAAAATTTTTCATATGGCAAGTTATATTTGCTAATTGCATATGTGTTCGTACACCTAATTTTATATTTTCTGATCGCCACGATAGCGACTACAACGACAGATAGCAAAACTGCAATATTACAACTTTGGAGGGCGTCGCCCCCCCACCCACCCACCAGTAGTTACGCCCCTGTGTGTAGCATAATTTGATATAATCCTTACCTTTCCGGCAACTCTCTCAAAGAATGAACGATACTTGCTGTCCATGTTAGCATCTTCCCCAGCGGTAACCCTTGGCTTCACATTACGTGTGATACGAGTCTGTTCATCTTGAACACTAGAAACAAAAAATTTGAATTGAGATCAACAACAGTATAGATATGTGACAGATCTCTTTGACCGAAGTCATACAAATCTGACCGCTTGTACTCTTAATCAGGCGTGCCTGTAAAATTTTTCATTCGTACGATCAATAAAATTTACATACTCGCTCTTTTTCTCCTTTTCAGAGAACAGACGGACCAAGAAGTCGCCTTCCTCATTCGCATCAAAAGTGGATGGCACAATGCAGTAGCTGCCAGGCTTGAGCTTGAACCGGTTTGTGATTTCCCGAGCATTGATGAAAGTGTTAGAGCGGGCACTGGAAGCATGGTACAAGAAATAATCCTTGTCGAGACGAGCCGCCTTCAAATCATCCTCTTCAAGCTGAAAATGTTAACAAACTTCAAGTTTCAGCGTTTCTTTTTATAAATAGCTATCATCTTTATCACGTAGTTCTGACAAAAATGATTTTGCTTACACGTTTGAAAATATATCTACGTGTAGGTAGGTCGCTAACAAGCTACAAGAGTAAACCTAAACTAAACTAATTTGTTTATACAAACTTTATGTTCAATTTTCTCACCAAATATCATTCATTTAAGTTCTTTGTAGGTTTGTATGGCGATAAAACATATAATACGTTTTGTATGTGGAAACAACACGTAAATTTATTATTGCAGTAATAAATTTACGTGGTGTTTCTACAAATTATATCATTCATTTATTTCAAATTGTTGAAGAATCAAGAATACGAATGTTCTCATCAAGATTCAAGGCTTCGGCTCGAGTTTGTATATCCGATACAACACAGCCGTTCATGTTGTAAATAGTACTAATCTAACTCTATTACGACTTGAACGTTCCATCAGATCTAAACTTTCTTCCTCCCTAAGAGGTCCTGTAAAAATCATCTCTTGCTGATCCAGTGCCAATATATATGCACACGAGGAGACAAAATCAATTTGGTCTTAATCTCAGCCACACAAACCTTGTAGATGGCAAAGCCAATGGTGAGATTTGAATTCGCCCCCAGTTTTTTTCTCAACTTTCGTCGTCCAACTTGCATGAGACTGACAATCAAGGTACAGGAATCGTCATCGTCATCATCATCAACGTCATGCAAAGTCACTCTGAAATGAAAATAATCAAGTTGCGATATTTCGCGTACTTACGTACAGGAGGTATGCCAATAGAGAAGTTCACATTTTGACTCCATTACCGTCAACGCTACCATTAACCAATCAGATGCGTTTAACCAGCTCTTATGGTGTCGTGGTCACCACACTTGCCTTTCAAGCTGAGAGAACCGAGTTCAATCCTTGGTTGGATCTCTACTAGAGGTCTTAAGACAATTGAGGAGAAAGTGCTACCTAACAAGCGCATATGAAGGATATAATATAGAGAGGTTAAGATACCCCGGTTCCGGTTTACGGGTACGGGTGACATATAGGTACCCGTACCCGTAAATCGGAGAACGACTTGTAACTTAAGAAATCCAAGATATTCCGGCGTGTGAAAACCGATCAGAGAATGGTTCGCTGTTGAGGTTCGCCATAAATTGTTGAAAACTTTGACCAGCATATGTGCATTATTTATTTGGGTAAGATGTTGAAAATTTTTACTATTTAAACGGCCAACATATAGTAAACAGAAAACACCCGTACCCGTTTGTCTTTTACGTGTAGACCTTGGTTTACCGCGGGGAAACGGGGAGAAATTACGGGTAAAAATGCTGACATCAGCAAAAATTGCTAAACAAAATGGCGATACTCGTACCCGTAAATCGGAACCGGGGTATCTTAACCTCTCTATTCCCATGTTTCCTTCACGATTTGGTTCCTGGTTGATCTTAAGCCCAATAACAAGTAAGTTCTTAACCCTATTGTGCACGAAACACGAGTGAATACCTGACATAAAAACGAGGCCATTTGGTCAAACGTCAATAAACATTAAACAGTAAGGTCTATTGCGCAATAGCCTGTTGGGAAATCCGCTCACCAACGAGTGCAAAACTCAATAAACAATCAATAAACAATCTACCCGATTAATCAATAGATGTCTTTTTAACTTTGTATAGAACTGTATATACTTTTCATATGTTTTAGGCTTAATACTTTTAATACTATCTGGTCCATAGTTGTACAATATTATCTATGTAAGCTCGCACGGTTGTTGCGCAGTATTTTTTTAATAAAGACTTATCAATCAATCAATCAATCAATGTGTTTTTAAGCCAGTGAGAAGTAGTCGTAGTGAGTGTCGATGTGGTTACCTTACCTGAACTGAGGATTTTTGTGGAATGTATTGGGGTTGTTACGGCAACCACCAGCAGTGCTTCCAACACGCCATCTGTCCTTATGCACATCCGCAGCCCAAGTCACCTTGGCGTCTTCAATGTTCACATCTGGACTCAACATACAGATTTCTAATCGTTGGAAATTGCTAATGAAGTCACGATAGCTCATCCTATTGAAACACAAAGCAAGAACAAGTCAAGAAGACTCATTTCACCGTTTCACGTTAAAATGCACATCAAAGGTTTCTAATTTCATGGATGTTTGCCACCAATGTATAGGGTGGGAAATACTGACCATAGGACCATTGCATGGTCTCAGAAAATCGTTATGGTGATCAGAGAATTATTAACATCAAAATCAAATTCAAAGAAATACAACTGCAAGACCTAATAATACCTAAGCTGATCATATATTAACCTTAACAATTCCCTCCCTTATAAATGTAGCCTGCGTGCAGTCCCAGACTCCAAAGGAAGTAGGAATGATGCCAACTACAGTACGCTTTAATAATCATATTATTCTAACAAACTGCGCACCAGAATTCTCCATCATCATCAAAAGTCAGGTCCATTTCTTTCTTCTCTCGGTCAGACAACAGACTCCATTCCGAGGACCTAAGGAAGATATTGCCTCTGGTAAGATATCTTGGTTGAATTTCGCGTGATAGTCAATTTCGTTCAGTTTTAGGAAAACTTGACAAGTGTGCAACAAATGTGTGTAGTTTTAGCCAAAAAAAGGCACTCTGGACGCGAGATAAATATACGTAACAACATTGCACAACAGTGCACACAAACAACAAAACTAGTCAAGGGAAACTTGTGAAGGACGCGCAAATTATTACATTGCGCAAATTATAATACCGCACAAATTTCGTGCACCAATGGTATGCGCGAATTCAATACCGCGCAAATTCTAATACCGTACGAATTCTGATGCCGCGCGAATTATTATGCCGCACAAATTATTACATTGCGCAAATTATAATACTACGCAAATTATAATACCGCGCAAATTATAATACCGCGCAAATTATAATACTGAGCAAATTATACTACCGCGTGAATTCTAATACCGCATGAATTTAAATACAGGTAACGTATTCAAATTTCACAAAAGATTTTTTTGTACTAACTTGTCTCCCCAAGCACCGGTCCATTCTCTCTCATTTCCCCACGGGTTTCGAATTCGCACAAGTTCCACCTCCATTTGACCAGATCTTGTTCGTGCATTTACCTAGAGTCAAGATTATTTGGAAATCATGCAGGGTCTAAAATTTAGGAGAGCATACTTGGGATTTGAAATTAGGGCGAACAAATTTGGGCTTATAACTCAATAGTCACATTATTAGATGGGAGCATTTCTGCCAAAGTGGTGTCGTGAGCGAGATGGAAAAATGCTCTGATTGGAGAATACTTGTTTTCTGAAGGATTTTCAAGTAATCGCATAAGAGCTAAGTCTACATTATCATACGTTTCCCAAGATACTTGGCATACGCCAAGCCCCTTTCGGTGTACAATTGTACATCTGTATGCATAGGCGTACGGGGTGGGGGGGCGGGGGGGCGGTAGCCCCCCCAATTTTTGGGCAGTTGGGCAATATCCCAGTTTTTTGGGCAGTCGGGCAATATTCGATCAACAGTCGGGCAATTTTGGTTTGCAATTAAAAAAAATGGGGCAAATTCTGTCAATTTTGTCTAAAATTAAGTAAATTTTTTGGCAAATTTTGTGATTTTTGGGAAATTTGTGTTATGTTCCGAAGCGACGTGGGGGAGGTCGCCAAAATAATTTTTCCGGAAAATTTTTTTTGACATTTTTTGGGCAATGTGGAATTTTTTGGGCAAAAAAGCTACCGCCCCCCCCAGAATTTAGCGGCTCCGTACGCCTATGTCTGTATGCATATTTTTAACTCCTGTCAACTCAAGTTAAGTCATTCTGTCTTTTGGGTAGCTCCTCAATTCCAACCTCATGAAACCACTAGTTCTCTTGATTGAGTCAAAGTGTCTTTCCTTTACCTTCCTCACTCCTGTCACAGTGTAAGCATGACCCATGACCAAGCCGTTGTCCAGCTTTGCTTCAATCTGGTTTGGCTTTGCCTAAATCACATATACGGTTGAATTATATACAGTACTATAGACCCTTGACCTGGTATTGTCAAGATACAAGTATGCAGAAAATCTCTAACCCTGGTTCTGACCGTATATAAGATTACTTTTGAACTGCATGAATTTTTTGTGTGTAATACTGTAATATACTGTCAAATCAAAGCATTTGTCTGGAATACTCACGTTAATACTGCAACCCATCAAAGATTGCCTGTTATGTGCTTTCAACATAACTTTGAAGAGATCCTTTGGAGCTTTAGAACCGAGATCAAATGATTCTGTCATTCCACCTGTGAAATCTTCCATGGCTTCACTTGTCTGGCCACCTTTCAAAGCTTCATATGAACCACACATTCTAATGGAAAGAACAATGTCAGATACATTGTCACACAGGTCTAAGCCTCCTTGTTTTTACTGTAGCCTTTGTGCATTAAAATTTCCGAAATATTAATTGTCTAATATCCCTCAGGGTGGGTGGAACTGGCCACTTTTCCCCCCCCCCCCACCCCCAACCAATATTTCATCCATGATAGTGTTACTACCAGTGGCATAGAAAGGGGGGGGGGCATGTGCCCTCCCAAGTTTTCAAAAATGCCCTTATGTCTAACAACGTTAAAAATTTCGTTGAGATCGAAAAAAATTTTATTTTCGGAAAAAATTGTCGTATGTCGGAAAAATTTTTTTGTTATTTTCGAAAAAATCTGATATTTCTGGAAAAATTTTGTTATTTTCGGAAAAAATTATATGTCTGGAAAAAAATTTGACACGTCCGGAAAATTTTCACCCACCCCCCGTCGCCAACATTTCTGAGAAAAATTTTTTAGGTTCCTTTTCTTTTGAAAAATGCCCCTCAAAACTGCCCCCCCGCCAACTGTTTGATGCTTCCTACACCGCTGGTTACTACATATTTTAAGTCCCTGTTTCAAGCTACAGCCCTAAAAAGCGGGACAGTGCACATGCAGATTTGGACTGCTTTATCATTTACAATTTTGGTGAACTTTCCATTATATCAAGTAATAGTGAATGCAACATGTTGTAAAAATGCACAAGTTGTAAAAAACCTGCAGCAGACTTGTAGCAATGCTGTTCCAACAACCTGTCAACAGGATGTGTTCGCACTGCTTGTCCCTAAGTTGTCAACGGCTTGTTAACAACTTGCTACAAGGTTGTAAAGCTCAACAGACTTTTTACAAGTTGTTTCAACAACTTGTAGTTGTTATCGGCTGGCAATTCAACAGTTTGTCAACAAGTTGTGATAAAATAACAGCGTTGTTACAACTTGTTGCTACACTTGCTACAAACCTGTTGCAAATACATCTTGTTGACAAGTTGTGAGATTTTTATGTGTGCAGAACTATTATAATAACAAATCATAACAGAATACTGATAGCAAAGTATTCGTAGTAGTATTTTACAACTAGTTATATTAATTTTATACTTTGCATAAGCCTTTTCCATCAATGCACTCCAAAATTCATTTCTCGACTTTGAATGCACAAAGATCAGCTGATTGTTGATGGTTGGCAGACGATCATCGACTACGACGTCCACCCACTCTCCACCTTGCCAGAAACAAAAATGAAAAGCACCACAGTAATCTTTCTTCCCAAAACCCTGATCATCGGTGGGACAAACTCGTTTGAACAGGCCTGGGTACTGTGTCAAAGATGCAATGCCTGCCAAGAACCAACAATCTCCCAAACGTCCCTGAGCGACATCCATCCGACTTGCACCATCATCGACGAGAATTGGGTCTTCCACCATTTCCTAAAATTGTATGTAATGGCATGGTAAAGATCAAAGAAGCGGAGGTGGCTGGGATAGCAGTACCCTGGTTCCAGAGGTTTATTTTTATTATTTTCATTGCGAAGGGGAGAGGAAAAATAAACCTCTGGTTGAAAGCGGCAATTGATTCATCGAGCCGCGCCAATCAGTTTGAATTAGGGTCAGATCCTGACTCTGTCTCCTGATTGGATGATTGTATTAAAGCTCTCTGATTGATTCAAATAAAACATCTATAACCAATCAGAGAGCTTTAATACAATCACCCAATCAGGAGACAGAGTCAGGATCTGACCCTAATTGAAACTGATTGTCACGGCTCGATGAATCAATTGCCGCTTTAAACCAAAGGTTTATTTTAAACCTCTGGAACCAGGGTAGGATAGCAGATAGCTTGTCCATGAACCCCAATGTACACAAATTTAATTTTTACCAAAATATGTCGCTTAAATTCCCTGAAATCATATGTCATGCTTTCAACTCAAAATATTACTGTTAAGGAATACTGCGGTAATCCTGTTGTCTCGATTGAACTGGAATTCAAGAAAATGGCAATATTTCATAGGTCCACAGAAAATTATTTTGACATTAGGAATGCATAGTAGTCTCATTAATTATTGCCGAATGTTTTGATGCAAAAATACGACACATTCATTTGGGTAAATCGTCAACAGCAATACTATTTCCAGACAACAAAGTCACAACAACAAATCACAAGTTTTGTAATTATAGTAATACAGTACTGATCAAACACAAGATGTTATATTGTAGCTTTCTCACCAAAAGGCTAACATGCATTTTTAACCCATTGAGTGCCAATTGTGCTCTTGAAGAGTAAAATTGTCTGGCGATAGACAGAGTAAAATACTCCAACATCAGAAGAGAAAATAATAAGGTAGGGCACATTGCAACTCAATGGGTTTTTGCATTGTCTGATATATTTTTTCAATTTATACTGCACTGAAAGAGCATTGAATTGAAGGGGGTGGGGGGGTGGGGGGTGCACCCCAGAGTGTCTGAATCCATTTTTATAAAACAAGTCAGCACCACCACAGAATAAAGATCCACACAGAAGGGCCAGTTACGTCAGAAGCTTTGAAGTTTCTGTGGCGCTGGCCGCCATCTTCCTAGCCAGTCGATTACATTTTCTGGCCAATAAACGCGATGTATTGGCTGGAGGCCCCGCCTTCTGGCCAGTCAACTGCATATTTTTGCATAAAAAAATGGCTACATGTTGCATGCTGAGTGGCCCTTCTGGTACTGATCTTTATTCTGTGGCACCACTTTTCCCCCACTGTCCCCACTGATCGACAATGGGGCAAACTCTAATATCTAGTAACTTCTGCTAACTTGACAACCTACTTGTAAAAGAGTAAGCGCATGCTGATATGCTTTTCATTTCATATCATGTGACATTTGCAACTTTTTTAACCCTTTAAGTGGCAATGTGCCGGTATTATTGTACTCTGTTTAACACCAGACGATTTTACTCATCAGGGGGAGAGTGCTGCCACTCAATGGGTTAGGCAATTTTTCCATATTGAAATAAGATTGCACTAGTGTAAAAAGCATCACATGATTTGCAATAGGACAATTGATATATACTTTGAGGAGAAATTCCTTGTAAATTAAACTTATGAAGCAAAAAGTATCGGGTTTCTGAACAGGGTTATCTAGTATCCATCATTGTTAACCCATTTAATAAGCAGTAACACAGGACTCACTTGATAACAGATGTATTTTCTGAAGTGTTTATCCTGAATAAAAATTTACTCTATCTATCCATCTAATGCAGGTTAAATTTAGCTAGCAAATAATACACATGTAATAACTACAGTAAAAAAGCTTAATACTGAACCTCCTACTGAACTATTAAACAGAACTAATCTGAGCTACATCAAGACTAATTGATTTGTTCGTTCAACGGCATATTTATTAAATCAACAGAAATACTCGTATTACTTCTAATAAAAATAGGAGTATTTTTACTATTTTACTGTACAAATAAACAAGTAGTTCAGAAAATTCAAGAGCCGTTCCAGGAGACTGCACTGAGGAAATACGTATTCAAAGTCTTCAAAGTTGTTTCGACAATTTGCGACAACGCCCTGCTAAACAACAGGCATTCGATAATTTTCGCAGGGGGCAATTAAAATATGTTCTCGGCTTTTCGAGTTGGCTTTTGGAAATTTTTAAATCCTCGAGTCAAGTACATCCTTGCGTAGCATCCTGTACTTAGCGGGAAAGGTTTGGGAAAACAAATATGACAGTGTTTAATAGGGATTGCTGCCCGATTATGTGAGGCGAAAATAACGTTTTAAAATGTTATTGTAAATTTCGCTTCAAGTGAGATAACTCATCGCGAATAATTGTTTATTTAATAGTTCGAATAATCGAATACTTGTCAATTTCATACTATGGAATGTTTCTAATGAATACCGAAGGTGTGGAATTTACGAATACAATTGCCCTAACTAACAAGCTTTGTGCATGTTTTAGCGTATTTTCGTTTATAGCGCAAGGCCAAAGATCAACTACAAGCATTCTACAACAAACGTTAATGATTTACTGTAATCGGCTTCGCCGCTTCGATGCATATCAAACATATATTTACGCATATTTTGATGTGCAATATACATCGAATAATTTAAAAGCCAAATCATATGAATACAAATTTACTTGCACGAGATGAAATATACTTCTCCCAACAGAACTATTAAAGACATGAACAAACTCAAAACGGTACAAAACTTACAGTTGGTCGACGCCAAACGAAGGGACGTGGCGGGCGACGGCTTGTGAAAACATTGTCGTCAACTGCTTCGAAGTCGGGGTCTTCATACAGCCTTCCTGATCTCAAACACGACTGCTTGATCTGTTCGTAAGTTTGAGGCATTATCCTGTCGAAAGTTGAAAGCACACAGAGAACTTAGCAACTGCAAAATAAGCTCAGGTTCTCGGGCAAACGACCAGCTCAAAAGACAAAAGAGAAGCTCAAATTTGATCACACAAATGCTCGGAATACTAAATGGTTCAATACACTGCTTGACCCTTACCAAATGATAAACTCGTGCACTTAAATGATGTTCAATCACACGCAAAACGTTATTTGCAACCTTAGTGCTCTGCTCTGCAGTCTGTGCTGACAATAGTAACAATGTATGACCACTACACCCTCAAGGTGGTAAACAGCTCGAAGATGTGTAGTCGAGGATCTCAGTCGTATCAAATTATGCAAAAAATTCCATTCTATCATTTAAATTGGGAGGGGCTCCACGCCGGGTCTTTCGAGAATGTTAAAGATTAACTCATGAATATTAACTCATTATTATATCCATATTGCAAGCTGCACGCAATTGAAAGGTAGTCAAAAATTATATTTAGGGCCTGTTCATATGGGCAAAAGTTCTCTCGTTAACTTTTAGACTAGCCAAATACTTCTGTTCTGTTCATATGGAGAAATATTATCCCACTTACCGGGAAAAGTTTCCGGTTGTGACGTAGCACTGAACATCAAATTGAATTGAAAAGTTGCTGGCACGACAAAAAGTTATCCCGCTAAGCGGGAAAGTTGTGTTCACATGGGGAAAACATTATCCCGGTCACCGAGATCTCGCCTGTCAACAAGCGAGATCTCGGTACACGGGAAAACTTTTTGTCTCATATGAACGCAGTGACCCAGTGTAACTTTTCATATTATTTTCATACCAAGGCAAGATCTCGCTTGTAAACTTGTCGAAAAGTTTTCTCGCTAACCGGGATAACTTTTGCCCATATGAACAGGCCCTTAGTAAAATTTGTAAGTCATAAAGTATTGCAAAGAAACATTTTATACGTCTGAATTTTTTAGTGGTTTTTGATAGTTTTCATTTTTTTTCTCAAGCACATTTTTTTTTCTCACCACCTTGCCCTTGGAGGTAATCAAATGTTAATACGTCATGTTACCTAACGTGTTACGTATACGATAGTTTAAAAGTCTTCAAATTCATAAAACACTTCAGTTTCCTTATCATTCTAGACGTTTGTCAAGTGCATTTGCGTTGTATCATGCAACAAATGCGAATGTGTTCAAACACAAACCAATATTTCTTTCAAGACTTTCAATCAAAAGGGCAGCTCTGCCTTTGCGTCTTCTGGCAGCAGGAAACTGCCAAACCGTCCTGTCCCCCCAATTCCGACATTTTAATGAAAACCGTCAAGTCGTTCGCATCCTAGAATTAACCAGAAAAAGAAGTATAAAAAAACAGGCAAACCACAACATAAACAAGCTCACCTTGTCGGGTAAATATTACTCAGACTTGTAAACACCGTGTCGTGCCTAAAACTCCATTTTTTAAACCTTTCCGGTTCACTTTGCCGCGACCCAAAACTCCTGGGAAATCTACTGAACACTTCGGTCTGAAATGATCTCGTCAATCTGTTGGACTCGTTAAAAAACTCCGAATTTCTGCGCGGGAAAAACTCTCTGTCTGAAGTCTCAAACGGATCGTACAGTCCAGTTTCAATAGTACCATTCCGTCTTACACGTCTCTCATTCTGGGTAGGCATGTCCCACGAATATTTTCTGTCCGAAATCCAACTGTTCCCGTTATTTGCATACGTTCGTGAACCGTGGTCGTCTTCTTCCCCTTCGCAGTCATCGAAACACGCATTGAACATGTCGTCGTTGCCAAAAGGAGTTTGTGTAAAATCCATATGCGGAGACCTTTCTGCATGGATGATGCTGTAACGTTGTCTTCTCGTTTTTGTATCGGTAGGACTCGGGGCGGACTCATCTTCATTTGTCTTCCTCAAGTTACCTCGAGAACTTTGCCTCGCAAACCTGAAGTAATCTTCTTGAGACATTGCGAAGCTTTACTCCTTTATTGAGTAGTAAACGTTTCACCGTTTCTCTCACCGAACGCTTGCTCCTTAATATATCATACTATTCACAAACATGCAGGCTAAATATATATATTCCACCCAATTACGTTGTCTGCGTATTCCTATACTTGTCTGCCACCGGGTCTCAACTCGTCTATTCCGAAAGGCTTTGTTTTGGGGTTTTGGTTTGTTTTAAATGATACCTGCTTTTGGTAATGAACTGATGAATTTTTAACGAGAGTTCCTCCTGGCTTTCTCATAATGTGTTATGTTGCTAGGAGCAATTAACATAGATGCTAGTTTTGAAGCCAGTTTGGGTTAGGAATAATACAGTAAGCTACGGTGCATGCTTTTGTTGGGTTAGGAATAATAAAGTAAGCTTACGGTGCATGAAAAAGATTAGGACGGCTTCGGCGTTTCAAGCGCGTCTTCTTTTGCATGTGGAAATTAGTGAGACTATTACTAGCTCTACCATATGTAGGTTTAGAATCATTTTCTTTTATAGCCCATCTCTTTTGCAGTGCAGGTTTATAAGAGGAAGAGTTTATATTCTAGACTTTATATCGCGACTTCAACAATGAAAACAACGATTCTGCAATCATTTGTGTTTCATTCATGAATATACTCTTCACTAATAATCATCTTTAACAAAATAACTTTTTAAATTCCACGCTAAATGGTTTTGCCAAAATTTGAGTTTCCATCGGCTTATACATCTGTTTCATTTTTGAACAGAATAATTATCGCGAATCTTACCCTAAGGAACAAGTATTCCTTTGATCGAGATCGTTGCAGCTTAGCAGTTCAAAGTTATGTTATGTTAGTGTGGTTGAAATGGATAATTATGTGGTTTCTTGTTAATTTCACTAATAGATTGGGTGTTTTTTTATAAACTGTTGCAATTTATCATTGTATGCCCGTATTTAGGTGAAGTAAATCCTGGCAAAATTCCAACAGCCGAATAGTGAACTGCCTCGTACCCAGGCGCTATGTGTTGTTCTATGGCTTGCGTGTCCCATGCGCTATTTGCGTGGGATTCAATAGTCTCCTTCGCAGCCTGTTCGCGGATGCTAGGGGTTCAATGGCAATGCACCTACATCAGAATAAGGAGTAAAATTACTTAATTTTATAACCAAATTTTCTCATTTCCCGAATTGAGTAAAGTATACGTAAATCGTTAGACGAAAAAATTGAGTAAATTTGAAAGTTTACTTGAAAATAATGAGTAAATTTGAGACTTTACTTTAAAAAAAATCGCTCAGAAATTTGAGTAATTTTACTCAAATCACTGCATGCATGTGGGTGCATTATTTTCCAAACTTTTTGAGTCACAATACTCCGATTTTGAATGGACTTGTTCAATTTAGAATGCGCAATGTGCCCTAATCCGCCTTTTTTAATAATTTTATTCAGTATTATTCGTTCAAAGGGTTACCTTATGCATCACTAGATCAAGCGTTACATAACTCGTCTTATAACTTCGCGTGAAATTCGGGGACTTAAGCCCGTTCTCCACTAGGCGAATTTATTCGCGCGAACAGATAAAAAGTAGGAAGCGATCCTACTTTTTCGCCGCGAATTTTTTCGCCGACCAATCACGTTGCCGGATTTCGGTTTTCGCGTCGCGCGAATAAATTCGCCTAGTGGAGAACGGGCTTTAGGCCTGTTTTATACGTTGAATTTCGGTCGCGTCGAATGCAATTCAAACAATAGATAATGAAGCTTAATGAGGTTTATCATCTCATTATCTATTGAATTAATTGCATTCGACGCGACCAAAATTCGACGTATAAAACGGGCCTTAAGTGTTTCATTGCATGAGTGGAGCTAACGGGGTTTGAGTTACGACAACGGCAATTTGGGTTTCACTAGATAATATAGAAATAGCTTGGATTGTGGTGGGCAGTTTGGTTAACTTTTGAGCCACATTTTAACGGAGAGGCAATGTTTTGTCTCAAAAGTGTGCATAATATTTGGCCACTGTAGTATACAAAACAGCTTAAATCAAAGATAATTCGCCGAAAAACAAATTTCCAAAACAAAGCTTCAAATATTTGCCGAAATAAATTAAAACTAAAAATAGTAAATTTGCCAAATATTTTATATTGTGTACACTAAATAATACTTATGTAAATTTCTGTATCGCAGTAAACACATGCTGTGGGTTGTGTCTACAGGTGAAAATAATCTTCAACACTTTGACGTTTCGAGTGAACCTTTTGACAATGGGTCAGGGATGGTTCTACTGGGGGATGCAGGGGGTTCACCCCGCCCCCTCAATCCTCATATAGCCTTGGCAAAGGGGTGCAGGGGGGGGGGGGTGCCAATGATGTCAAGGATGGTTATTCTGGGGATGCAAAATGTCAAGGATGGTTCTTCTGGGGATGCAGGGGGTTTACCTCCCCCCCCCCTCAATCCTCATATGGCCTTGGCAGAGGGGGTGCAGGGGGGTGCCAATTTCCTTATCAAATCCATTTTCGGATGTAAAGGCACTTGCAAAAACAAAAGTAAAATTGAGGCAAAATGAGATGGTAACATGATTGTGAGATGGTCAAGCACGAGGACTACAGACTACTGTGTCACTCACGCCATAGTTCTATTTTAATTTAGTGATTACGCATTTGGTCAACGGTTGCACCGTGAAACATGACCGAAGCTCGATGAACGCCCCACCTACCAGATCTGCTGGATCCGTCCATTCCTTTTTTAGCAGTCAAGAGAAAAATCGATTCCAAAAAGTGTGTGGAAGGACGTACTCACATAATTTATTATAGATTATATTACAAATGTCCAAAAAGTGAGAGGATGCGTCCCCCCCCCATCCCAGATTGACGCTCTCGACGTGAGCTAATTCTCGTATAAACAATCCCTACACTGGACAAATACCTTAAATGTTTGTCAAACACATGTTGTAGTAACTTAATTTTGAAAATTTATTTATTCAATTTCGTTTTTGGACAATTTGTCGGCCTTGCATAATCCACTGTTTTTAAAAAAAGGCAAGTGCAAGCATATAATCTGCTAACTACAGTTCCAGCAGGAATACGTTAAATTTACACGAAGTACTAAATACCACCACACAATGCTATTATAGACAAACCAAACCATAGTTAATAGAGATCCCCATCAGGCGTACAACACTATGCTCCAGTCCTCTGCCATATTCACGGCCGGTTTCTTAATTGTCAGTCGATAGGCGCCGGCGTCGTGCTGGTAATCCAGTTTTCGTGTTTTACCATCTACACAATAGAAGTTATGGATTGTGGTCAAAAACCTGAATGTATGTAACCAATAGGTGATGCGCAACCATTCCCATGGGATTCAAAGGACAAAGATATTTTCGCCATGTTGGATGAAATTTGCATTGCAAACAAGCAAAATCCTTTGTGATTGCCAATGTCATCCAACATGGCGACGGTGACGTAACTTGCACATCACCTAATGGCCCTTTCCAACTGGCATAAAGCACTTTGCATAACAATATGGAGGTTCATATTTGACTACCGCTACCTCTCTTACTGGCTTAGTGCGCATCTGATTGGTTAATCAGGTGTATCAAACGCATCTGATTGGTTAATCGGGTATATCACACGCATCTGGGGGCGGTTGTTCAAAGGTCGATTAGCGCTAACCCAGGGTTAAAATTTAACCCGCTGTTTTAGTTTGCATATTTCTGCATGTCCATTTATTTCAAAATGTCAGAAAAGAAAACTTCTATTGAACCAGACATAATTTGTGAAGAAATATATCCAAATTTATAAACAAGCTGTTAGGAAGTGTACTTTGAATTTTAAGTTAACCTAGGATTAAGCTAATCGGCTTTTGAACAACCGACCCCAGATTGGCTAATCGGGTATATCAAACGCATCTGATTGGCTAATGGTCGCTTAATGGTAGCGGTAGTGGAAGTCAAATCTGAAACTCTGCAAAATCTGGAGAGCAAGAAAAACGCTATACTCTGTCTTACTCCTTTGATCTTTGTTTACAAATCCCATAGCTTTTCATGCTCTCTAGTCACTTTTTGGTGTCAACTATTTTCAGTTAACTGCAAAGAGTCTATTGAAATGGAAAACTCTTGCAGAAGGAAGGCTTAATCACAAGCTTATAATTCCAACTCTGCCAAAACCACTACATAGTTTTTTTGAAAAAAAGGTTTTGCCTTTTCTGGAGCAAAGTTTGGAACGACTTGCCTGAAGAAATAAAATGTAGCCGTAGTTTATCGATATTCAAGAAACGCATCTCATGCCTCATGCTTTTGAATCAAAATTTCTGTGATCAGAGTAGGAATTTTGCATAGGTAATTATACGTTTTGAAGGATTCGTAAGAAATGTTTGAGAGAACTGATTCATACAGTATTAAACACGGAGTCAGTTCCCTCAAATCGTTCAAAACTTTACCCATGCACAATTCCTACTGCAATCACAGAAACTTTTATATATTGTAAACCAGCCTTTGTAGTAGATATAATTACTGTCGGCTATGTCAGTCACCATTCAAACATACAAAGGAACATAACATTTCTTTAATTAAAAAATACGTGACTGAACAAATGATTTAAATATGAAAAGTTGTTCAGCAAACCAAGCAGTATTTACACGGTTGATTCGCTGAATTAAGGTTGAGTTAAGTGCACCTTTCTTTATTTTGCTTTATAAATAGGCATACATTTTTTAGCTTTATCATGAAAAATAACACCCTCTCTGGTCAGGGCTAGGGGGGGGGGGCCCTCAGTAAATCCATCCCTGAAATGAACGATTGATCCAGACAAGAATGATTATAGCTATTGCCAAATTTGGTTGCAAAATGTTGTAAAATACGGAAAATATAGTTATATAAATATATCATGTTATTAATCAAATTACTGTACCTCATTTTGTCTCTAACATTTTTTAGCTTTATCATGAAAAATAACACCCTCTCTGGTCAGGGCTAGGGGGGGGGGGGAGGCACCCCTCAGTAAATCCATCCCTGAAATGAACGATGTAATTACCTTTATCAGTGACAACTATCTGTGATGGATTTTGACTCATTCCCAATATGACAATACGTTCGAGCCACGACTTTGTTTCATAATGAGATGAACTATCTAAAGATCTGGTAAAAAATTTCATGGGTATTATAACAGTGCAGTCGAACGCCTATATCAGGCCTAGAAAATATATTTCTTTTCCTGGCGGCAAAATCCAAAATTAAAAATTCCATATATAAAACTTCGTGCATATGTAGATTTCAGAGAACGTATGGCGCCGCACAATGTGATAAACTTCGATCACGCCACAACACAATCTCGACTTACAAAACAAAATGCTTTGGGAATTTTTGAACAATAAGAAAATTATTATGGCATTCCAGTATATAAGATGACAAAAATTTCCTGCAAGGTGTTCTCTGTTGCAAGGTGTAAGAAAACTTTCTGCGAAGATATTTGTTAAAATTTCCTGGTCGCTGCCGGACATTTCCCAGCACTGGCCCATATACAGCAGAAAGCGTCCTGAAAATTTACGACAATAAAATAACAAACAGCTTTCGTGCGAAAAAAACGTTCTTGTTTTTCGAAACTGCACTTGTTTATTCCCAATTTTGTTCATCAAGATTTCTCTCCCAATCTAAATAACAATACAACCTCCTTGATCTTAAAAATCCATGTAAGCCTAAATTAGAACAGTTGCAACTCATACAAGTACAAACTCACCTGGAATTTATACACAACCAAGTCAAAATTTAAAAACATATACATGAAATTCAAGACGCCAAAAGTAGATTTAAAACATGATGTTTGTGATGGTACTCTGAATGTGTATCCACACCGGGCAAGCTAAAAGGTTTCCCTGACCACGGTGGGAATGGAACCCGCGACCTTTGGGATACTAGTCCAATGCTCTACCGTGGTCAGGCAAACTTTTCAACTTGTCCGGTGTGGATGCACACTCAGAGTAAGATCACAAACATCATATTCACTTCACCTGAGTACATAACACCAACACACACAAAAATATTTAAAACATCTTACTTCGACTCCAGTTTTCCTTGTTTGAATGTAATTTCTCGATATGCATATTTCCCTTTTTGATAGTCGAAACTTATTCCATCATCCAAATACAGCTTGCCTTCGGCTTCACCCTAAAATGATAGTAACAAGTGATCATATATTGGTCACTTCTTGTCTCTTGCATGCTAATTAGATATTTCCCTTTTGAACTAAACTGTACTACACTGCTGGGATTCTGAACTGTTTTATCAATTTATCTAGAAGTGTAGCAGAGACCACCCATTGGTCCAATGTTTCTGGATGCAAGAGGAAACCTAAAGTAAGGGTGGACCAATAGATATTCTTGGAAGGAGGAGCAGATCCCCCCCCCCCAAAAAAAAAACCACACAAAAAAACATGCAAAGAATGGAATTTGAAAAAATCATGGAATATGCAGAAGTCTATAAAAAAAAAATCCTGCACAGTTACCACACCTTCGAACTTAAGCTTCGGACTTAAAAAAATTCTTGCAAGAAAATATCCCATGGTGCATTCACAGATTCACTCACTACTGTTCACATCCAAATACCTTTTTATGAAGCGCCACAACAAGAGTGTAGGGATCCTCAGTCATGAGAGAAGAACAACGTCGAATTCGTTCTTTTCGTGGTACAATACTTCCACCTCGTTGGAACACCGGAATCTATGGACGGAAATAATAAACGTTTCCATAACATCATCAATGCACTACATGAGAATTCTAGTCCCGTACAGACGAGCACGTTTTCCTTGCCAAGTTTCCTTGCCAGAGGATTCCTGCCAGAGGACCCGCACACCCGAAAATCTATACACATGGGCTTGCGGTTATAGCTCGACTGTAACTCAGTTGGTTAAAGCGCTGCACCGGAATCGCAGGGCTGCAGGTTTGATTCCTGCCAGAGGACCTAGTGTTGTATTTTTCGCAACCGTTCCTGGTTAGGTCTTAAATTATGTATATATGCTCACTTGGATTATTCACCAAATCCAGCATTCAAGTTCAACCAAATGCAATAACATCTTTCAAATTCACCTTGACGAGTTTAACTTCTCGTGTGTACGGTCAACAAGTTTTCCTTGACAAATTTACTTTCTCGTGTGTACACGGAATGTTGTTAAACATTTATCTCACGTCAAGGCCGCCTTTTGTTTGCCAAAACCATATAGAAGTGTTTCTTGTACAAGTTACTTGTCAAGTTTTCCTTGGCGGCCGTACACACACGAACAAATTTTCTTTCTCCAAAAGGTGGCATTCATGACTAGCATTGGAACAAGGCTCCTACACACCAGCAAATAAAGGGCCATTTCCACTCAAGAAAATTTCCGCGGAAAAAAAAATTTGTAAAATGTGATTGGCCTACACAAATTTTCCGTCGGAAAAAAAATGTTGAAGTTGAAAGTTTAAAATTTTCAACTTTTAACAATCATATTTTCGAAAAATTTTCTGTCCGTGGAAAATTCTCTTGAGTGGAAATGGGCCCTAAAACTTGCTCTCTTGCACGGGACTTTACTTGCGCGGAATAAATTGTTTTGTCATTAAGAAGAGTAAAAGGTTACCATGTTAAGAGGTGTTGCCACGTGTATAGTTTGACCTCCAAGATGGAATTTCGTCCCAGACAGATCATACCACAACTGAGAAGTTTAAAAAAACATCGGCAATTAAGGAAATAGGGTTCGTTTTCTCTTAGCCATCGCATGTACTGTATACTACGGTCATACCTCGTCCTTGCCAGGAAGATAGACATCGAGTGTAGCCTGCCCTTGTGTTGTTACTGGCTTTACCAACAGATCACGACCTGTGCGAGAAAAGAAAACATTATGATGATCAATTCGCAAAACATTTGAACGAGGCGGGGATTTAGGTTGCCACCATATTACCACCCATTTTTTGTTGCATATCTCAGTTCTTTAAACTTTTTCACTTTAAATTACCAGTAAAGTTACGGTCTAATTTATAGCCTTCCATTGATTCGTAGTATTGGAGTTATAGTTACAGCTAGCTTTGTTCCGCAGTAATCCAGCTACATTACCATTCAAAGGCTTTAAGAGTGGAAGTTCCTCCTCCTAAAACAGCCTAGCAGATATTGATCTTCCATAGTAAGTTGACTTGTCGTCAGGACACTCTACCCACAAGGTCTAAATATAACGAAACTATTTGTCATATCCGTATACTTCGAAGGGACATAACATACATCAGTCAGCAGGGTCGTAGCGAAGAGGCTAAAGCAGGGAGTAGTATCGCACTTGCCGACAACATTTCATCGCTAATTAATATTTCTTTTCCCAAAATTGCTGGTCACTACCCACAATAATGTACAGTACGTAATTTCTTAAATTTTTTCACTATAATACCATAATTTAATCAAACAACTGCTATAACTATTACTTTTGCCGAACCACTCGAAAATTTTCGCTGACTACAAAAACAACTTGCCGACAAATCCGTTATTTTGCCGACAAGATGTTTTCAGGGGGTGTCACCCCCCTCCCCCCAATAGCGACGGTCCTGTCAGCCAGAGTACATGTTAATCCTGCGGCACCCAGGAATTTGTCCTAGGCCTTAACAGCTTGAACAAGCAAAATAAACTAATACTTAGTTCAAAGTTTCACATACGTAACAATAGGCGAGCCAGATTTAGACGCTTCATGAAACAACGTGTACCAGAATGGTAGCAATGCATAACGATGTCGAATTGCTTCACGCATCAAGTTCTTGTATTTATCTTCAAATAACCACGGTTCACGGCGTTTTGTGTCCAAGTGAGCATGTGCGCGGAAGAATGGAAGATAGGCGCCAGTCTGAAAAGAAACAAATACATGCAGGGTGTCAGAGGCGTAGCCACGGGGGGGGGGGATGGGGGTCCGGGCCCCTACTTTTCTTCACGACCAATTTGGTAATTCTTTCAAAACTGAGGAGAAACTGGGGGGGGGGGGCGTGACCTCCTAATGTTTTCAGCTATGACATAAAATATACCACATCTGTGGCTTTTCAGATGATCATAAAATGTGTCTAAAATGCACGAATTAGCGTTTCGCAAACACTAACATTTTCTGGGGGACCATGACCCTGGCCGGCCGATTAGAAACCCCCCACCAGTTGTGCAAAAACCTGGAGTGCTTATTTCAAATAAAAGTTTAATTTCGGAAATGTTTATGTAAATGAAATAGACCTCATCAGCAAACGCATGTTTTTTCCCGTTGCTACTCGATCAGTTTTCTGATAGTCCACCGACTCCTTCCTTTACAGTACAGTATATCTGCATGAATACATTGGCTGTCGCAGTGCGATATAAACACGCGGTAGCTGATCATAAAATGAAGCAAATATAACCAAATGTATGCAAGTGAGATTACCTGATACCATCGAACAAGAAGTTCGGCATCTGGATTGTTGAAAAATCCACCAACATCGGCTGAAAAGAAATTTCAAACTATAACTAAAATTCCTTTTTAAAATGTTCTGGGACTAACCCTACTAACAAAATTTTAACTACTATTTTGTAGTTAACTCAATTAATACAAGCACGAGGACAAACAAAGACCCCTCTATTACCCACCTCCACTGAACTGCAGTCCGGTGATTCCCAGCGTTAAAATCATTGGTAAAGACATTTTTAAATGCGACCATTCAGCTATATTATCGCCAGTCCATATGGCTCCTGCGAAGGAAAATGAAACATGCAGAAGAGTGGTCAGGGTTTTCTTCAAGTAAGTTATTAACAGACAAATTTGACTAACGTTTGTTTATACACAGCCCTTGAAAAAAGTTAAAACTGAGGTCGGCAAAGCAATGCCGACCTAAATCTGCCCCAGGTTCCGACCTCTCGGTATTTATTAGATCGGATACTTTCTCCCCATTGTAATTTCGAAGCAGCGGCAACCACCAGTAACACAATCCAAATTTCGTGTTTCCCCCGACCGTATTTTTAATATTCCCGCGGCTGTTTTCTATTAGAATAAACAATTCCCATTATAGACTCATTTTTTATCATAGCAAAAAAAGTATATTCTCGGAAAGAGCATACTAAAATTTGTAAAATTGCAAAGTTTGGTTGCGAAATGTTGTAAAATGTGGAAAACATAGCCTTGCAAAGTTCACAAATTTTGTATACTTAATATTTCTTTTCCCAAAATTGTTGGTCACTAACCCCCACAATAACGTACAGTACCGTAATTTCTTGAATTTTCTAGTAATTTTCGTAAATTTATCAAAATTTTTGCTATAACTATTACTTTTTAATCCGAGCCACTCGAATATTTTCCCTGACTACAAAAACAACTTGCCGATAAATCAGTTATACTACTATTAATCAGTTATACTATTAATCAGTTATACTATTAATCAGTTATATACTAAATTAGTTATACTACCATCGATACTATTTCCGCACACAATATATAAATACTGTGTGCGGAAATTGCTAAAATGACAGCAATTTCCGCACTGACAAGCTTCGCAGTTTCCCTGACTGTACTAGGGAAGAATTACAAGCTGCGAACAAAGTACCGTCTGGTGTCGCAGTTGTAAGACCTGGTAAGGAATAACGAACTAACATGATGCCATTTTGAACTGCTATCTAAAAAATCCACACTCAAAATTTCCATCTACAAAACCCTCCCACAATTAAATCCTTGCTATAATGAGAATAACAACCGACCAACCTACCGTATCTCTGTGTGCCTGCAAAGAAAGCTCTCGACAAAACAAACGGCCTCTCCTTATCGCTAGATCTTCGTTTCAAGCCATTGTATGTTGACATTTGATTGTAAAAACCGTAAAGGTTATGAACATCGCGGTTCTCCCAGCCACCATAATGCATGGCATCTTTATGCATGGTGATCTCAGGACCATTGAACACAGACATCTGCCAGTTGTAAAAAAATAATGATGGTTGAAAGTAGTTGACAGTAACTGCAGACACACCAAATTAAATACATTTGTGATGATGTTACTAGTTATAGATCGTGATGGTAATGGTGGTTATGATGATAATAATAACGGTAGTCAATTTAGTTATGATGGTGATTTTATGATTATTATGATGGTGATTATGATGATGGCTATAATGGTGATTATGATGGTTATAATGGTGATTATTATGATGGTTATAACAATAGTGATTGCGATGGTTATGATGGTGGTTATGCTTTATAATGGTGATTATGATGATGGCTATTATAATGGTGATTATGATGGTGGTTACGATGATGATGGTTATAACGGCGAATATGATGATGGTTATGAAAGTTACTGTTACAATGATGGTGGCCAGGATTGCAAAACTGGTGTTGGGGTATATGATGAGAGATGAAGGGAGTCAAGCGACCACCAATGATTTCCGGATGTTTGAATGTAAACAGATTACATATACCTCGTTCATATCATTCCATACACTCAGGGTTGGAGTAGAACCTTTATATTGATCCAGAGCAAATTTACTGGCCCACCAATCTCTCACTTCTGGATTGAAGAAATCTATCCAAGATGATTCACCTGGGACATAAAAATGATATTTAACTCAACAAATTTCACCTAATTCATAACGTCTTCATAATGTACATAATTCTCGTACATAATTGTCAACGTCTTCAGTTCATTACCTGGCCAGCACCATCCATTATAATCAGCGCCATCTTTATTTTTGACGTAGTAACCTTTTGAACTGGCTTCCTGTTGAAAGACAAACCAAACACTCTTGGAAAACGTTTTTACCAGTGTTAACTTACGATCCTCATAAAAGGGTACCAGGGTTTTTTTCCCAGTTAACAGATACCCCCAGACACCATGCTGTACACAGTAGTAGGTAAACTCACTCTTCCTGTTTAAAGGGGCAGTGTCACGGCGCTGATTGGCTAAAATAAACGGCGCAAAGAAACGTTTAAAATTAATGCTAGATGACTGGAAAAGATGCAACAGCCTTCAATTTTTAAAACAAATCAAAGATGTCCTGCATAACGAAGAGATTATAAATAGTATATCGTATTTCACTCCTAACTTGATTAACTGTTGGCAGACAGTTCAAGTTCGCGTATATTTTGGATGCGCAGTAGAACCGTGACACTGCCCCTTTAAGATACAGGAATAAAATGATGGTGTACCCCTCCATAGTGACAGCTATATGTGTCCAACATTTAGCAAGAAGAAGCATACCCTGTGAATGTGGTAGTCATCGTCCCTTTTAATATGTGGGTCCACAATGGTGACCATCTAGGAAAAAATATAAAATAACTCATTTTCCATCCTAACAAGATTTCTAAGAGACGAACATACAAGCCTACTAGTGGCTGTCTCTAAAGGCGAGTACAAAGTCTCCGAGACGAAGTCTCATCTTACAGGAATAAAAAATTCTGGATAGTACAGTACATACTCTTCTTCCTTTGTCAGCCAATTTGTTTTGCATTTCTTCAGGATTTGGAAATTTGGCAGAATCCCAAGTCATGTATCTGGTTGAAAGAACGAGATTTAAATTTTTAAACCAGGTGAGACTATCTACTACGCTGCCCACTTGTGAATGTTCTAGCAGGACATCTTCTGGTACTCACCGTTTTCCATTCGTGTGTTCAATGTCCAGCCACAAAACATCGTATGGAATATCATGTTTGTCAAAGTTTGCATCAACACTGAAATGAGAATTCAATGGATGAATTCTGCTATATATTTCTATTTGCTGACCATTTAATGTTGAGTTTCAATAAGAGATCAGAAATATCTATAGGCGCGAGACAATTGAACTGCATCTCTCTTTTAGATTTATTTGTCACCAAATACACGACTTTTCCATATAGTGAAAGGAATTGATACTATTTTCTCACTGTGATAGCTGCCGGTTGAATCACCTGCTGCACGAAGCCTGCCATAGTCTGTTAAGATATGACCAGGGTTCGTAGTCTCCAAGACCAAAAAATTTCAAAGACTTTCAAAGATTTTTTCTGCTTATTGTCAAAGACTTTTCAAAGACCTTTGTGAGCAATCAGGTGTCGAAAAATTGCGATCATGCGATGTATAAGCACCATTTTTACCAGGTAATTAGTCCCGTCAAATCACATCCTAAAATGCACTTTTTTGTCAAATTTTGCTTCAATCAATCTATTTTATTAGTTAGAAAATCGTATAATCAAATAATCACTAAAGAATTTAAAGACTTTTAAAGACTTTCTTCGCTTTTTCGCACACTTCAAAGACTTTTCAAAGACCTTAAAGACCTGCATTCAAATTTAAAGACTTTCAAGGATTTCAAAGACCGCTACGAACCCTGATGACGGTCTGGAAGCCCGGCAAACTTCAAAGCTACAAAATAGAAAACCTTTGTTTGATGTTGAACTATACCTCACCGTGCACAAATCTTTTGTCTATAAAACTTCATTTAATATTATTCATCGTGATTGCACGTTTATCTTACAGTGGCTATCCCTATTGGGCGGTTACTTAATTATACCAAAATACAATGTGCTCAATCACTGGGCCGTGCACAAGTTAACATAAACTCAGACAAAAACATCACACAATGACTTCTGTTTAGTTTCCAGACAATCGTATCTTGTTAGACAATGAACCAACTTATGGTATTCGCAGTAAAAATATTCTTCTTACGTTATAACATCATCTTGGTCATTGTAGTTCCAACGACACTGGTGATAGGCTATGGCAAACATCTAAAGATAAGCGAGTGAAGGTTATAAGCGAGTGAAGGTTTTTAGTCTTGACCAGGACTGCCGAGAGAGGGGGACGGCAGGGAGTGCATTTTCCCCAAGGCACCAGCCATGAAGCAAGACTCCTTCTTGTGTATGATTAATGCTAAGACTACAACTTTGTATTACCGGGGGTAGAGTAGCGGGTCCCGTGAGTGCGGCATATTGTTGAAATACATCATGAGGTTTTGGACCTAACATCACAAACACGTCAATAATTCCACTTTCTGACATCCAATGTGTGTCAATCTGCTGAGAATTGTCCTCCGCGCTGAAGTACGACATTAATGAACCCAACACGTTCTATGCAACAAATTAAAACAATAGAAAAAGTTTCAGTTGAGAAAAATTTTGAGCCTTACCATTGAGGGAAGTCTGCTACAAGTCTGCTGAAGTGCGACTGACCCAGTCATTCTACGAAGAAATGTAATATATCTAGTTTATAGTAAAAAGCCTCATCTTGATCAACTTTTTCACTGTCAAAGTTTCCGGATATGATGTCATTAGATGAACCTTTGGAGCAAAAAACAAAGGAAAACTAATTTGCAATTCATCCAATGACATCCTATCCGGAAACTTTGACAGTGAAAAAGTTGATCAAGATGAGATATTTTCCTATAACGATATATTACATTTCTTGTTAGAATGACCCAAATATATACACATACCAAAAGTTATATTCGGGATTAGTCGCACTTTAATGAAACTGAACTAAAACCTAGTACCTTCTTAGCATCCTCAGTACTGATATCAATCCACGTTTCAGCGGCATTCAACCAGAAGACACCGACAGTCTTATTCACACTATAACATAATATACAGACACAACAAAATAATTAGGGTCCAGTATAGATGCTTTTCTATACCATAAACTGCAGAGGTCGGTGTCTAGCAACCTGAAAACGATTCTAAAGACTAACATCCTTGGTCAAAACTTCAAAGTGTTTACTAAATTAACTTTGACATTTTGACCAAGGATGTTGGTAGCCATAATGTGGCTTAGTACTAGCTGATGAAAGGTCTTCACTTCAGGTAGTTCTAACCAGCGAGCTCTATATATATCTGGAGTGAGATCTTCAGCATATTTGCTAATTAGTTCACGTTCTACTGTATACCTGTGTGCCAACATATACGGTATAGAGCCATATAAAGCCATCCCATTGTTCAAATCATACTCAAATACATCCAGATTGAATAGACGATACGGTTCTTTGCCCCTAAATAACGTATACTCATTAAACTAAGGTTATATAGCACTATCAGCTGGTTAATTAACTTGGTCAAGCATTTGACTGCCAAACTGAAGGTAATCGTATTTTCAAACTTACATAGTTGATTTGAGTGCCAGGGACTCTGCGTGTTCGGGAATACCATAAACATTATCAAAACCAAGAAATGAGATGTCCAGACCAACAGATGAAGGTCCTGTAATATAATTTCTCAAACTCATTTATAATTCATGAGCAAAACACAAAGGAAGTCAGCACAACAATCATTGGCTTCACCTTTGGGGAAGATGGAAGTGCTTTAGAGATACAGGAAAATCGAATAGACCTTTCCCCTTTTAAGTGAGATTTTGATCAAGACAAGTCTGGACAAAAATTTCATCACAACTTGAAAGAGCATCACAAAATTAGTAATATCCCTAAGTTTCGTTGCGAAATGTTGTAAAATGCGGATAATATAGCCTTGCGAAGTTTGCCGTTTTTCAGTCATTTTGCATTACAAACGGGAAATTGATAATCAGTTTGATCATCTGATTATCAATTTCCCATTTGTAATCTAAATGACTGAAAAACGGCAAACTTCGCAAGGCTATATTATCCGCATTTTACAACATTTCGCAACGAAACTTAGGAATATTACTAATTTTGTGATGCTCTTTCAAGCTGTGATCAAGGGGAAAGGTCTATTCCACAGGTTCATTACTTGGTTCATTACGCAAAATACCTTTAGGTCTAGAATCTTTATGTTCATGAAATGATTCCTCCCAGGATTCGTCTTCAGCTGGCTTTGGTTCTTCTTCGTCTTCTTCTTTGGAATATTCGTCAGCCTTTTCTTCCTGCAGTGAATTTAAAGTTGTTTATCAGATGTATTAATATCAAGATTTTGCTGGCATCTCACTCGATTTAATGGTTGAAGGGTGTTGTTAATGGAAGTTATTGAGTGGAAATTTATTAACATTCTATTAGACCTAAACAGAAACAGCTGCGAAAAATGCCCTGGCGGGAATTGAACCTGCGATTCTATTGGATGTATTGCCTACTAAACTTGATCTGTCATGCCAGTGTAGGTAGTGCCAACTACCTGAAAATATATAAGGAGAATTTCGACGTTTCGAGCGAAGGCCCTTTGTCTGTTCGTCAGTTATGAAGGGCCTTACGTCAAAGTTCTCCTTATAGATTTTCAGGTAATTACATTCTTACCAACGAAAGCTTGTTCATTGTCTACTAAAGCCCGGTACGGACAAGCACGTTTTTCGTGACAGGTTCATTTTCTCGTGTGTGCGGTCAACAAGTTTTTCTTGTACAGTATTTCCTGTATACTTGTCAAGATTCCCTTGGCGGCCGTACACACAAACAAATTTTCCTTGTCCAAAACCTGGCATCACTGGCATTGGAACAAGGCTCCCTGGCAAGGAAGTACAAGCAAATAAAACTTGTCAAGGGAAACTTGTTTGCTCCGCAAAACATCGAAGTTCAAACTTAAACGTACCTCATCTTTAGGCTCTTCTTCACTGTTTTCGTCTTCAGCAATAGTTGGTTCAGGATCTTCAGTTTTCTTTTCTGAACTGCTACAAGAGAATGAAAAAGAGCGTTTGGTGGCGACTACACCAACATTTCATGCTAGACAATTCGCACCAGCTCCTTTTGAGGACAGAGTTTAAACTAGCATATTATCCGCTATAGGCAAATTTGTTCGCACAAAACAACATTTCCTAGACCGCTTGCAGTCCCTCGCATGTCAGAAAATCTAAACCCGCGGAAAGGAAGGACCACTCGCAGTCTAAACATTTCCCTTTGTCACCATCACTTATCACATCTGCAAAAGCGATGCCAACAAAAAAGTCGCTTTTTTAAGCAAGCAACAGTTCTGTCACATTGATGACATAAATGTCAAAAACGTTGGTTTCTGAAGACCTCGAAAAAAATATGTCATATGTATATCATTACAGTATATGCACTACAACAGATCTCCATTCTGTGAGCAAGCAGTCTGGAATAACGTAACATTTTAGCTTGTTTGGCAAAGGCACAAAATGACAAGGAGACCAACTGAAGGTACAACAGAGAGGCCAAGGTCTCCAGATTTCAAACTTCAGCAATTTCCAAAAGATAAAAGGCTTTTTCAAAGGAAACTTGGAAATTTGGAAAACTGTTTCCCATGGCCAAATTCGCGCAGAGTAACTTGACAACCAAGGCCATACTGTATCATCAGCCCTCGAAAACCGTCAAAATTGAGGTCGGCAAAAAAATGCCTAAATCCTAAATCTGACCTACTGTAGGTCGGCACGTTTCGGCATTTTTTCAAAAATCTGTTTCCATGTCTTGGAGCACTAGTAATCACGTATTTACGAATCATTGAAATCGGAATATAAAGCATGCCGTTTTGCGCGGAAACGTGAACTACAGTAACACGGCTTTTCTTTTGAAGTCTTACCTAAATTATATATAGAATACCGTCAATTTTTAAAGCTTACACCGAATTGTGTTTAGTTAATCAAACTACGAATCGAATTCTATAATCGCTGACTTTTTAACAGCTATCACCACCAAAAAAGATTCTTACTTTTGCTGAATTAAGGTCAGCAAAAATTTGCCGACCTGGGAGGTTGATAGGTCGGCATTGCCGACTGCTGACCTCGTTTTCGAGGGCTATATCATTGGGTCATATCCAGGGGGGGGGGGTGGTTTACGAATTAGGTATAGTGTACAAATTAGCTCTAAGGGTGGTAATAATCACATCTGAGAATGTAGCGATTCTTCTTCAAAAATTCAGAGGGTTGTTATCTAACAGATAATTGAAGTGTAAATTTGACATTTAACACTTACAAGTAACTAAACAGAGACCCTAACAATGAGTCTGATGACTCTGATCTGAATAAAGAAATACAAGTGAAATGAATTAGACATTTCCACGATTTGACTACATTTTCCTCACATTAATACCACAAAACAGTGATTACATTATGTAAATAGTGATAAAGTTGCATTAATTGCCGGCTTTAACCCTTTAAGTGGCATCTTTAAGTTTAACCATTTAAGTACATCAGGTTGCATCCCACTTTATTATTCTACTCTGTCTAATGCCAGAAAATTTTACCCATCATCAAGGGGAGAGTACTGCCACTCAATGAGTTAATCAGGCTATCTGCCAATATGTCCTGTTAACCCATTAAGTGGCAACACACGCTGATGTGCCCTACTTCATTATTTTACGCTGACAGTAGCCGTTTTCACATTAGAAGACGGACAAGTCGTCTAGACGAACAAATCGTCTCAAAATCGTCTTTTAGTCGGACAAATCATCAGATGTGAAAACGTGTCGGACAAAATTTTAGACGAACAAGTCGTCTGAATTTGTTCGACTACTTGTCCGTCTGTAAAGACGATTTTTGAGAGACGATTTGTTCGTCTAGACGACTTGTCCGTCTCTAATGTGAATAGGGCTAGTGAGTGTCCAACACCAAATGATTTTACTCATCAAGGGTAGAGTGCTATTACTCAATGGGTTAAACAAGAACTGACAACCCCAGAGCTCAACTCGATTATGAATGTGTGACATCCGCAAGCAACAATGTTGACTGCCTAACCTAATAAAATAGCTAAAGATTCCCAATCTTCTCATATTGTAAAAGTTAAATATCAACATTGACATTTGAAAGCACAAAGTCTGTTAGGTACGCGGTTACCTGAAAATAAAACAAACACAAGATGTCTGGTCCAACTTACGCTTTCTTGGCTTGGTAATGCTCAAAATTCATCAATCCTTTGGAGTTGACTGAGACAGCAATTTGATTACCGACAAGAAAGTCCAAACGTAATGGCTTCATTGTTATGATCAAACCATTGTCGTTAAACTTGACATGAATTTGATTGTCATTTTCACTAACTTTTTCATAACTGCAATGAAAATAAAAGGCAATATCGTGAGATACAGCATGGAAATTGGTGTCTGTGCAGGGTGATAATTTAAGTCCATTATATGAGGGTGTTGATGGGGTAAATTGTGAGTCATGATTCACTCAATTTCGGGTACTATCAGTCATGAAAACACTTATTAAAAATACTGGTTAACGTTGCAGAACACTTTTCAAAGATTTACCGTTAAAATACCAAAATGTTACTTATTGTTACTGTTAAAATACCAAAATTTTTACTGTTTACTGATTATCAGACCCCTCCCCCCATCTAGACCCCCTTATATGTGTTCAAGTGGGTTGGAAGTCCTGGACTCTACAGAGGATGTATATTGTGTAACCACAGCTAATCTACCTAGATATACTCTTGACAGGAGAAGAGCAGGATCCAGATTTATCCAATGGTGATTATATTAAGGGATGTGCCCTTTCACCAACTATGTCCAAAATATGAAAGGGATAGATCTAGTATGAAATGTTTTTTAGGGGAAGGGTCAAGGGTGGCAGGTACCCTTGTCTGCAAATTATCAAAATACTACCTGTATCTATCATGAGACATAGTATTAGATCATTATAAACAGCTATGTTTTTCAGGGGGGAGGGGGGAGTATTTCTAGGGTGCACACTCTATACAGTATATCCCAATGAAAATCATTCAAATCAAATCAAAAGAAAATTATAATTGTTGGATTATCATTATGTCAATTACCAAGAATATACTCTTCATTAAAACTTACCTTGAATGAGTAGGTTCGCTTACTAAAACATCTTGCACTTCATAACGAGGGTGGATTGGATTGATCTCGTTAATTTTAAATCTAACTGTATTATGTTTCAATATTATTACTTGAAGACTAAGAACTACATTTGTTTTGTTATTTAATATTTGTACATCTATTGCAGAATCTGAGAATTTTATTGAACCAGGAACAACTGAATATGGGCTTTGGCCAAGAGCAATGGCTCGGTTTCTCCTAAAAATATGAAAAGAAATGGTTATTTTTCAACATAAAACATACAATATTATATGTTTAACCCATTGAGCCGCAATGCGCCCCAGTGCGCCATACTTATTTTGACTTGTCTTTTGCCTTGTCTTTTGCCAGACGATTTTACTCGTCAATGGGGAAGCTCTCCAGCTTAATGAGTTAATTTAACCAAAAAATCTGACAATGTCTCTAGTCAACTCATTCAGCCGCAATGCACCCCAGTGCGCCCTACTCTCCTTTTTTACTTGTCTAATGCCAGACGATTTTACTCGTCAATGGGGAAGCTCTGCAGCTTAATGGGTTAACACTTCAATGGGGCAATGTATTTTTGAAATGACAGTGTGTGGACACCTGCAAATGACAAATCGTCATGCATAAAATCAGTTTTGTATGCCCCAAATTGGCAGCATACAATTTCACAGGAAAATTTGTGGGCCAATTTTTTAGAGTTTTACACACTTTGGAAATTCCTTGCCGGATGACTGTCAGATAAAGTTCTGGGCAGTGAGATAAACACAAAATTTAACTGTCCAAACTTCAATCACAAACATTATTAATTAATAGTATAGTTATTATATAATTAGACAGACTTATTCTGTAATTAGGTAATTGTTTTTGAAAAGCCTCTATGGGGAAAGATAATAAAATATCAATCAATCGATCAATCAAAACTACATACAAAGGAATATCAGAAAAATTTTATGTGGTAAAAATTGGAATTTGTTCGAAAACAAAAACGTTTGATGAGATGATTGAATTTAAAAAATCAATTCAAGTTTGAGTTTTTGGGGTAGTTTAACAGCTGTAAAAAGGCCCTTACTCATCAGAGGGTAGACTTGCTCCAAGTCTGTCTCTCAATGAGGTGTTTAGGAGTTTTAGAGTGCACAAAAAATGTGGCAGGAATTTTAAAGGCAGATCATATATTCACACACCCTTTACAAATCCTAAATAAAAATTTCCTTCTTTGAGAGGCAGTCTTGGAGGAAGTCTAGTCAAGGGGGAGTGTTGCCACTAGAGGTGTGCATCAGATCAGAGGTTTCCGATCCAACAATTGGTCATTTTATGAAATCCATAGACGGACCCCAAACAAAATGTCCACCCCTACAAAAAAATTTCAACCCCCCCCCCTCCCCAATATTCGGCATAATAAAAAATAATTAAACAGTCCACTCCAACGTGCAGAGTGTTGATGATACAAAATAAACGTTTATTGGAGCAATTGTAAAGTTTTGAAACTCTATTATCTCCCCTGAATAGAGTTTGCAGTGCCTTGTCATGCAAATAGCTTGCTTGCAAGGAACGTTTGGAATTTTTATGAACATTATTTTTAGATTTTAATTCTTTTAGGAA